TAGGTTTGTAACACCAGATAACCATGTTTTCTGAACACTTTTGCCACTGTGTTATCTTGCAGTTAGAAAAAATAAAATAAAAAGTCCTTCCATGTGGTTTCTTTAAGCCATCAGTGAAAGTGCAAATTTTGCAACCTTTCAGAGACAATTGGAAAAACCGCATCTCAAAAAGCAGATTAACCATTTATTTTATTCCCTTATTGGTTTTTTAGTTTTTCTCTTTCCCCTCTTTTTCTTTGATATGAAAGCAATGAAATAACTCCCTCAAACCCTAACAGTATTCCCGTTTAAGGAATACTGAATTCAGTGGACCCATTAAAAGATTTTTTTAAAAGATAAAAGACTTCTCTGTCAGTCGTGTCACACCCTAGGGCACTATGCTCATCTTCGTTTCTAGATCACGGAGCCAGCATTGTCTGAAGACCATTTCTTTAGGCAAGTGGCCAGCATGACTATACGTCAAAGATGCATGGAACACCGTTACTTTCCGACTGAAGTGGTACCTATTTATCTACTCACATTCACATACTTTCAAACTGCTAGGAGGATAGGAGCTGGAGCAAAGAATAGAAGGTCACCCGTCGCTCAGGACTCAAACCCAGGCTGTCAACTTTGTAGCTGACAAACCCTGGGTCTTTAACCGTTGAGCCATCACATCTCCACGTTAAAAGATAATTCACAAATAATGACCCTGGTCGTCTTCATCTAAGCTTATAATAGGAAAGCCCTCCATTTTTAATATTGCATCCTTAAGCAATAGGGTGTCAGGCCTGGGGGCAGGTTTTTTCCTCCCCTCAGGGATGGTAAATTGAATCAAGCCTGGGGGTTTTGTTCCTCCCTGCAGGGATGGCAAAATCTCATGAAAAACTCATGAAACCGGCTCTACCTTTCAGCCTTAGGATATTAGAATAGCAGAGTTGGAAGGGACCTCGCCTCGAAGGTCTTCTAGTCCAACCCCCTGCTTAGACAGGAAACCCTACACCATTTCAGACAAATGTTCATCCAACATCTTCTTAAAAATTTCCAGTGTTGGAGCATTCACAACTTCTGGAGGCAAGTTGTTCCACTGATTAATTGTTCTAACTGTCAGGAAATTTCTCCTATGTTCTAAGTTGCTTCTCTCCTTGATTAGTTTCCACCCATTGCTTCTTGTTCTACCCTCAGGTGCTTTGGAGAATAGCTTGACTCCCTCTTCTTTGTGGCAGCCCCTGAGATATTGGAACACTGCTATCATGTCTCCCCTGGTCCTTCTTTCTATTAAACTAGACATACCCAGTTGCTGCAACTGTTCTTCATATGTTTTAGCCTCCAGTCCCCTAATCATCTTTCTTGCTCTTCTCTGCACACTTTTCTAGAGTCTCCACATATTTTTAAATCGTGGCAACCAAAACTGGATGCAGTATTCCAAGTGTGGCCTTACCAAGGCATTATAAAGTGGTATTAACACTTCACATGATCTTGATTCTATCCCTCTGTTGATGCAGCCTAGAACTGTGTTGGCTTTTGGGGCAGTTGCTGTCCACGGCTGGCTCCTATTTAAATGGTTGTCTTCTAGGACTCCAAGATCCCTCTGACAGTTACTACTATTGAGCAAGCTACCACATATACTGTGCATGCGCATTTTGGTTTTTCTTGCCTAAATGTAGAACCTTATTGCGGAGTCCTTCGGGATTGGGTGGCATATAAATTCATTAAATTTACAATTTACAAAACATCGTAAGTCACACTTCATCATGCGCTGTTGGTCTGAGGTTGGCAGCTTGGTTGCAACCAAATTGCCAAGCTCCCAGTTCAGCGTAACTAACCGCCCAACTACTTAAATTCAAATACATTTCAACATTTCCACTCCCACCTGGCCGATAAGACTGGATTTTTCAATGATTGCCTTCAGGTCCCCTTGGCTATCTGCTAAGTACATCAAGAGCTTCCTAGTGACAACAGCTGCTCACTGTTATGGGAAAGAGAAACATCCTTTTAACTTGCCTTCCCTGCCTTTTAAATATCTCAGCTTTCTTAACAATATTAACCAAAACTGCAAAAACCTGTTTGTCGTGTGCACTCCCGGTTCCTTTGAGCAGTGATTGGCATCTTCAACCTGTCATTGGCGTTTCTGCTTTCATCTTGCCAGGAGGATCTTTAGATCCTGATCCAAGCTTCTGTCCAAGAAAAAAAGTGTCAGGAGAAATGTTATGAGAAGCAACGTGGCTTATTCCATAAAGAATAAGAAGAAACCACAGCTTGTATGAACCCAGTCTAACCCTGTACTAAAAGCCACCACTATCTTTCTTTTCACCTTGATCCTTTCTAGAGGAGACTGCAATCCTGAGTCCATTTTTTCAGTCGAAAGGTATGTTGACGTTCAAGTTATCCAGCTAAGCTATTAAGCTTAGAGGTATAGAAACATATAAGCCTACTGTATCATAAGACTACTTAAATTCTGTTCAATGCACAGGAATGTACTTTGGAATAAGCGTGCATAAGATTGGCCTTTGAATCCAGCAGATAACTGTCCATATCATACTGTTAAGTCACCAGCAGTTTATAAATATTTTGAAAAGGCTTTGTGTGTTTGTACGACGTTTGCCACTTTTGATGAAATGTTTATTTCATCTGGATATTTATTTTGGCTGAACGGACATTGTAATCTCTCTTCCTCCTCCAGGTTTTGAACATTTGGCTTCTTGTATCAATGAATGCAAGGACACTCTAATCCTTTTTTTTTTTTTTAGCCTTTTGAAATAGTCCATAGTTCAGTGCAATCTATTCAGAGCATATATCATATATTTTAAAAGTTATAGATCAAGTTATTGCAAATAAACTTGGGACTGGCTGCTATAGTAAAAGTAAAGGTTCCCCTCGTACATATGTGCTAGTTGTTCCCAACTTTAGGGGGCTGTTTCAAAGGCGAAGAGCCAGCGCTGTCCGAAGACGTCTCGGTGGTCATGTGGCAGGCATGACTAAATGCCGAAGGCGCACGGAACGCTGTTACCTTCCCACCAAAGGTGGTTCCTATTTTTTTCTACTTGCATTTTCAATTTGCTTTCGAACTGCTAGGTTGGCAGAAGCTGAGACAAGTAATGGGAGCTCACTCCGTTACGCAGCACTAGGGATTCGAACCGCTGAACTGCTGACCTTTCTGATCGACAAGCTCAGCGTCTCAGACACCGAATACTGAGTCTATTCGGAGGCATGTATCATATATTTTAAAAGCGGTAGAACAACTTCCTGCAAATAAACTTGAGACTGGCTGCTATGGATGGTCTCATTTTAGAAGGGCAATTGTCTCTTGTTTTCTCACGCAAAGAAATGCTCATTTTCGGAGACATGTTTTTTAACAAGTGACTAATGAATTGTTCCTCACAATTATGTCCATTTCTCAAATTATTCGCCACCCATATCAGCACACCCCCACGGTTATGTGATCAGCATTCAGTCACTTGGCCAGTGGCATGTACAGGTAGTCCTCGACTTATGACCACAGCTGACCCCCAACATCTATGTTGCTAAGTGAAACACTTAAGTGAGTTTTGACCCCATTGTACAACTTTTCTTGCCACCTTTATTAAGCGAATCACCTAAATTGTTAAATTAGTAATATGGTTGAGTGAATCTGGGTTCCGCATTGATTTTGCTTGTCAGAAGGTCACAAAAGGGGATCACATGACACCCACACACCCACGCAGCAATCCGTCATAAATATGAGCCAGGTGCCATGTATCCAAATGTAAATCACGTGGCCATGGGGATACTGCAATGGTCAAAAGTGTGAAAAATGTCATAAGTCACTTTATTCAGTGCTGTTGTAATGTCAAATGGCCACTAGGTGAATGGTTATAAATTGAGGACTACCTGTATTTACAACAGCAGTAGGTTGTGTGACAGCCATTTGTGATCTTATCTGGTGGCTCACAATAAGGAAACTCACACGATTGCATGATCCACTTAACAAAGGCAGTGATTTGCTAAAAAGATTGCAAAATCAGGCGTGATTCATTTAACAACTGCCTTGATTAGCAATCGAAATTCTGGTCCCAATTACGGTTGAGAGTCAAAAACTATCTATATGCAAATTATGCCAGTAATAATTTGTGTCATTTGTGTATGATGTCATTATCAATCTATCCATATAAAAACAGCTGTGGGCATGTATGTTCCAGCATAACTCTGGAACGCCTCGAGCAATTTCAACCAGACTTGGTACACAGATGACTTACTCTCTGCAAGCAAATACTGTGGGGAGTAAGACATCCCTAAAACCCCTGTGTGTTCTGTTAAGATGCATCCTGTTGTGCCTTTAAATGGCCTTTACTGTACTTCTACTATGCAGCGCAGTGGAGTTGCCATGGTAACAGCTCCACAGTACTCCACAAGGCGGCTCCCTCTGGCAAGAGGGAAAACCCAACATTACAAATAGCGTTTGGTCGCGACATTTTCCCTCTGCATTTTCCCTCTGCACCTTTGCAAATTAGAATGTTTTTTTTTACCACTCCAGATTGACAAAGAAGCACCCCCATTCTAACTATGGCTTTGTTTATATGACTGCAAGCCATGATTTGCTTCATTATGTTTTATTCAATAAGCCACAAGTAACTAGGCTCACACAACATGCTGATGCACAAGCCAAGATTGACTAACCACAGTTGTGGGGTTTTGCACTGTAAGCTAAGTCATAAGGAAACCACAGTGTGGTTTTGCATCTTGTGTTAATCAGCCTATGTGAACCAGGGAGGTTTGTATCTGGAACAGTTGTTCTTGGAGGACAAAGCTGGATATAGAAACTTTGAAGGCCTCTTGTTATTTTAAGCAGCTCCTTTCAAGCTTGTAGTCCCTGTATTAAGGATAAAGCTTTGTTCCGGTAGCTAAAGCAAACTTCTCAATCATCTACAATCACACACAGGCAGTTTTTCTGGCTTTGTCAGAATTATAATCCTCCTCCTTATCAGCAAATACATTATATTTCCCTGTTTTTATTCTCCCTCACTTGTTAAATAATCACATACCTGGATACATTTGCCCTTGATCCAGTACACAAATGCAGTTCCTGGGTATAGAGCATTTTCAAAGTGTTTGAAGTCCGAGTCCCCTACAAGCATGTTTCTTTAAGGATTTTGAGCTGAGCCAAGATTTATCCACTGCCAGAAAATAGGGAGTTTTAATATTCCACTGTAATTCTTAGGATGGCGAAAAGCAAATTAACATGCAAAGGTTGATCAAGCTGTAACACACAACTTGATGTTTTGATGGTGCTCAAAAATGGACAGAAACCAATAATGCAACGTAGTTACTACTACACTCAAACATTGATATCCCCGAGATATTCACAAACTTAGCCAGAAAGAGTTGCTGTACTATGCTGCCTAATTTAATAATTATATACATAATTATATATCTGAGGGGAAATGGGCAACTATATCTTGCTCCTGCTAGCTGCTTTTAGCTGACCTCAATATATGAGCATCCTTCAAAACCTAAAAGGGTGATGCACTGCACAGGATAATCTAACAGACGCCTCTTATCTGCCATGCAATTCTAAAAAAATCAAATTCCAAACAAACTACCATAACTCAGGCCTAGGAATTATTTTGAAAAACCTGCTAACCACCCCCTGGGCACCCAGAATTAAGAGGAAGGCATAAGCAGCCCTTCAGATACTAACAGAGGGGCTGGAACTGACAAGAGCATCCCCCAAGGGCCTGGGAAGGGCCCAGGACTTTCTCTGAACAGCTGGCGTTGCTACGGCAACCCACCCACTCTGCCTAGCAACCAGGTACTTGCTCTCCCCCTCCCAGTATTAAGGTTCTATTTAGAGATAGAGATAGGAAGAGGGGGGGAAAAGTATAGAGCAGCCAGCTGCAAAAATCTTGGGGTAAAAATAAAAGCACCTAAGGGAGACCTAATTGTGCTTTTTTGGGGGTGTGTGTGTGTATTTGCACACTTATCTCACAGAAATCAGAGACGTAGGTTTATATACACAGCCAATGGATACAATTATGTAGGTGTATGTCAAATATTTTTCAAATTATCATATATTTTGTGGTGTGTGTGTAATACCTTTAACATTGTTCTCTATTACATATATGTATGTACGTAAACATAGCAATGTTAAAACTATTAGATATTGATATATTAGATATAATAGCTTTAACATTGTTCTATATATGTATGTATATGTATGTGTAAAAATAGCAACGTTAAAGCTATTAGATATTGATATATTTTTCATGGA